TCGCACATCACGCTGAGTGACTGCAGCCAGCTGAGTTCTGGTGTTTGTGTTTGGCTGTCTGCTTTTTCTTCTAAAATTGTAACAGAAAGATTACTTGTATAACAGAGTTATGGTGCAGAAGATGCCTTTTTGTTATAATTCTGAAATGTAAACCCACTGAGCATAAGCAATCTGATACTATAGAGGTGTTAGTAAATTCTTATCTGTTATGGGACTATGTGAATCTTCTTTAATGGGTTGTCACTTGAACTATGTTGGAGACAGTGCAAGTATAAAGTGGAATCTCTCTGGTGCTGTGAAACGTCCACCTTTGGCAGTGACTTTAGAAGTGTTGCTGTTCCTTTCAGCTGCTGTAACTTTGTCATGAGTTGGGTTCCATCTTACTGGGATTGCCAAAGTAACTTAGGCTGTATTTGGAAGCAATTTATTTTACTGAGCAGATGCTAACTTAGAGGTTTCATTTGCATCTTCTGTTGGTGCATCTCCCAGCTGAGAATGTGTAGTCCAGATTTTGAAAAAGACCTGAATTTATGGGACCTGACATGTGACAAAATTGATAACTTAGTTCTGAATGAAAACTTTTCTTGCAAATTTTTGTGCCATTCCAAGAACAGGGTAGGGTGTTAAATTTTCATGCATCAGTACGTCAGGTCCTACCATGTCCCCAGCATTTAATAACTATTTGAATTTCAACAAAAAAGCTGTAAGATGAAACCTGTACATTTCTGCTAGTTTTGGATCATTCATAATGAACTTCTGTTGACTAAACCATTGGAAAGCAGGCATCTTAGCAACATACTATTTAAAGGTAATATTTGGGGAATTAGGTGCCTTCTCATCAGATTCCTGATGTGCTGTTTAATTGGGAAACACTAACTTGGCCAACTGCCACTGATCCATTTTTAAAGTTATTTAAGCTGTGGGTTTCCATGTTGTTATGCATATGAAAGTGGGGTCGAGTAACTCTGATCCCTGTAGCCATGGACAGAATACGAGCAATATTTATTCAGGTATTCAGCATTTTGATCCCGGAGGAAGGAGAGCAGAGATGGAAATGTGGATCATGCCTGTCAGCTTGCATGAAAAACTGTGAAGTTAGCATAGTTTCTGGTGCAGATTCTACTCACTTAATAAATTGCTCTTAATGACTATTAAAAAAATAGCCTCCTCTTCTCCCCATCCCTGCAGCCTGCCTGGGAATTAAAGTGATTTCAGTTCCTCACAACACTGTAGAAATTACTAGCAAGATCCAACCTTGGTATCGCTTTGCAGTGTGAACACATTCCCATCTGATAGAATCTGTGCATTTGGTTAAAAATAAGTTTTTAGTCTGAAAGGGGATGCTGCGTATCTGAAACCAGATGCCAAAAGGGCTTGATGTCAGTGGACCACTTGAGGCTTTCATACTTGAGGTTTTCTGCTAGGAGCAGAAAGAGGCATTTGAAGTTCACTTTCCCCTTTGAACGTGTCCTTGTTGCTGCATGGGAAGACTGCACTGTGACTAACTCCAATAGTAGCCTAATTTGATTAGCAGTTGAACTTAATGAACGTGATTGATGTGCAGCCCACCTCTTATAATTCCTTGTAGTCGTCATTGTGTGCTACTTTGTCAGTTTATTATGAGCCTTTAAAACTTGGGGGTATGTATTCTTTTACTTACTCAACTGACTTGTTATCACTAATTGGTATTTATGTAAAACATTGATTAGTCTTTTCCATTAAAAAAAATAATTGCAACTAAAGGGTGTGTTACATTTCCTTTGCAAGATGGTTAACAACCAGACGGTGAGACATGTTGCCTGGTTAAGTTGTCTGGACGCCGCTGCAGCTGTGCTTCCATCCCCTCACGGGATTCCTGGGTGTTAGTTCTTTCTTTCTACACACCCTGCAGTTGCACAGAGCCCCTGCCGTCACAGCTGGGAACCCCTGGGACCAGGCGCACACCTAAGGGGTAACTCCTGACAATCACTGCACTGTGCCATCTGCCCCTGGACACAGGGCTGGGGTGTCTGAATCACCTGGCCTTTACTCGGCTGCTGTAAGAAATACAGATTTATACAAAAATTGTTTGTTTCTTATCACTCTTGAATACTTATAGAGAATTTATGTATTTTAGTAGCCTTCAGTCCTCTTCTCCCATGGTTGTAGAACATCTCTAGTCTGTCTGCGTAATTGGAAGTCAGCCCTCCTCTGACTCTTCTGCTCTCCTGGGTTTTCAACATCACCCTCCCTGCATGTTTTGTTCCTCCTCTGACAATTTTCCATTCCCTTAAAAACTCCAGGCTGCATTGTACCATTAAGAGAACATTCTCACGACAAAGCCTGCAGCTGGGCCTGGCACAATACCTTAAATTTCATGTGTGGGTGGGCACATGCATGCAGTTTTTGTAAATGGACTATAGGTTCTTTGTTAGAAGCAGCCATGTGCAGAACTGAGCGTGTATGCTGAATGCTTAGCCTTCAAAGACAGGGAAAAAATAATAAAGCTCTTCCAAAGACAAGAAGACAGAGTAGCAGGAGCAGAAAACACTATTTGTGGATTCCCAAACATTTGGAGATCTTTCTTTGAGCAATCCGAGATTATCAGATCGATGCCCTCTACTGAGGAATGCTTCATTCCATTCCTCTCCCTGCAGAGCTGAAGCTGTTACCTCCCCCTTCTCCCTTAGCTGACAAATTAATTCTCCTAACTTGCTTCTGTGCAAAATAACCAAAATGCTTTGTGGTCACATAATGTAGCGACTGGTGACAGTAGGGAGCTCTCTGGCTAATTTCAGGTGGGAGAGTCTACAAGCTGAGTGCCTGTTCTGTCCCTGCCCGAGAGCTGCTGTGGGCAGCAAGGGAAGGAGCCCCAGGGTCGAGACAGCAGAGGAGGGGGAAAGGCCAGTGCTTGCCAGGCAGCCGCTCATGGCAGCAGGGCAGGCTGCGGTGAGTCAAGAAAGCAAACTGCCATTTCCTCTGCTGGACACACAGAAGCCTGGGGAAATCCTTGATAAGGGTGTGAGTCTGCGCTGCTGCACTCTGCACGCTGCTGCAGAGCCTTTAACCACAGGAGCAGAAGGGCGCAGCGGCATCTGTCCCTCCCCAGTACCCACCTGGAGCAGGGCTGCTCTCAGGGGTCCCAGGCACCAGACTGCTGAGTCTTTGATGCAAGCTGTTCTCACAGGGTGGGAGGGCGAGCAGCTGACAGACCAGGAAGAGACACCCGAAGGGAACACATGACCAGTATTAATAATCCTCTGAAAGTACCAAAAAAGGCTGTTTAGTACCCTTTGGTGTCCCTGCGGTGCCTAGCATTCAACAGCACTGGCCAATACTGGCAGAGAACACAAAGCTCCACTTAAACAATACCAATTTCCCATCGAGAATTTATTAAGCATGAAAGTATAACAGGATTTTTCTCCTTTTTGCAGTCCCACATTAGGTCAGAGGAAACACAGGCTATGAACACTGGATCACTTTTCTGCCCTAAGTTTCCCTCCTATTTTCAGAAGCAGCTTCTGCTTCATGGAGGAAGCTGGAGAGTCCTACCACATGACTAGTGATTTTTAAACAAATTCCCCCAACCGTAAGAGAAGTCACCTGCTGACAAGGAATGGTGAAATTGCTTTTCTCACAAAAGCAGCTTTACAAGACTCAAAAAAAGCTTTCATTATACCTGTTGTCTCGGACTCCTTCACTTGCTGCCACCGCATGGAAAGCTGTCTCAGGTATCGGCGAAACTACATGCCGTGACTGGCACTGCAAGAGGCTAAAACACCGCTCTT